ATCTTTAAAGTAAAGGGAGCATAGGAAATGCAGTTTGCATAAATTATCCTCAGCCCTGTCATGTGGTGGTGTCTCTGCAGGGACAGGGCCCAGCTCTTTGCTACAGTCAGTTTTGGTAGGTTCATCCAGTTCTGTAGAGATTGAAGGGCAGATGACTGGAAGTTTCAAGGTTACCTAAGTGAAGATTCTCAGAAAGACTGTGAGAACCAGCCTGTCTTGGAAAAAGAGGGACACATCTCAGAACTGAAGTGGGGGAGATTAAGAAGAATTTCTTGACTCTCCCAGAAAAGGACAGGTGAAACAAGCAGACCAATTAAGAAACTAAGTTCCCATTATCTGTCCCTCAAGCAGCAGGACCAACCCTGAGGGTAGAATCAAAAATCTATCTATCTGTCTATCTATCTATCTAGCTATATCCTGCCTTTTTCCTACCAAGGGTTCAAGGAAGCTTACATTATTCTCCTCCTCCATCTTATCCCCACAACAACAACCCTGTGAGGTAGGTTGGGCTGAGAGTCTGTGATTGGCCCAAAGTCACCCAGTTGGCTGAGCAGGGACTCGAACCCAGGTTGTCTGAGTCCCAGTCCCGTGCTCTTAACCACTACACCACACTGGCTCTCAAATCATTCAGAAAAGGAGGAAGGGGGGGGTTCCCAGTATGGATTCAATTCTTATGGGCAGGTGCTTCTCCCACATCGCAAAGAGAACTCTGCTTTGATTTGTACTGTTTTGCAATCTGTTAAGCTTTAATAAAAGGACTGTGCAGAGAGAGACCTCCTCATGACAGAAATCTTTTCCAAATACTTGGTAACCTCACCTCTTCTCTGCCAAGCTTGTAGTGAATTAGAGGCCATATGGAGGGCACTTCTTCCTGCCCTCCCCCCAGGACCCCTGAGTGAAGCAGCAGCAACATAGAGGCTTTTCTTGGCCTCTTTGTTCTACTCTCCCCACAAAGCAGTGGAGCAGCTGAAGGTACATGGAGGAAGCATGCACATTGTGTTACTACAACAGCACCAAGCAAAACACAACTTGTTCCCTGGCGTTTGGAACTGCTTCCTCTGATGTACAGCTGACTAGTATCTGGTGCAGAGTACTTGTGCACGGGGTGATTTATTTATATTAAGGCAATTTGAATCATTGATTTAAATCAGGCTTGCCACTGATCACATAGCTCTTGAACATTCATCTGGTCTGATCTGATCACTAAATCTGATCACTAAAACATGTTAATTTACAAATCAATGCAGTACCTTACACCAGGAAGGGTATAGTGAATGCACTTTTTGATACCTTGATTTTTATTCATTTAGGAAATACTGTATCATACAGCATATAAAACAAAATAAAAATATTGACTTAGTCTATTGACTGTATCAAAACAGAACAAAATAAAATACATTTAAATCTACACAAAGAAGTATATATTAAAGAAAATTTTGTATAATTTTCTAGGAAGATGCAATTTTAAAAAACATATAGTAAAATAGGGGAAATTCAGAATGAATTCATACCCTCTAAACCCAGAATGTGTCCACAGTTGACTGACATGGATTCCAAATATCTGTTTCTGAGGCTGGAAGTAGCAGCAGTACATTAAGAATATAAAAACTAAATGACACACAGTTACAATAGTACATAGTCTTTCCACTACACTTTACATTCCTTTCTATTTTGCTTCCTAGCAGCCTTTTCTGTGTTCCAGAACAAGTTTTTCAAAATCTGTAATACCATAATAGCTTTTACTACTCCAGTTAAAAAGGTCACAAAATACCTATTGGAGCTCTTCAGTTCTCTTCATCAGATGAGATGGTAAACAGAACTAAAAAATAAGATGGAAGGGGAAAAAACTGGCAGATACACAAAGTATGAAGTCACTGAGACACATAGTTTCAGGTAGCTGGTAAAATGAAACAAAGGAACAATGACTGATCCCCTATTAAAACAAAACAAGAAAGACAGAAAATTCCAACCATTGCATAAACTGTCTCCATCCTTAGGGTTTCTTTGTAGTTGGAAACAGATGTGGGAAAAACCTAAACTGTTTTTATAATAACATCTTGCCTGCTGAAGTGTTGTGGAGAACTCCAATGCTTGCACAGCATTTTGTGACTTTTGAATTAGCATAATCAAGGTTTTATGGTGATAGGAATTCCAGAAGTTTTCTCTTGGCCCACATAGCTAGCTACCCTTACTTTTTTGATCATTACTAGATTAACTTTCTCTTCCTTAACACCTTTGTCTTGCTTGTCCAAGCTCCAGCACCACAAGCCCAGAGCAACAAAATCCTGTCCAGCCTGTGTATTTGGACATGTGACTTTAGTCAGAGAAACAAAAACTGAAAGCCCAGCATGTTTGAGAACCACAGGCTGGACAAAGTCATTTTTAGGAGATGAGAAACTGAAATGAATTCCCATGTAGATTTATAGGTAGCTTCATTTTTATGATAGTGTAAATGTAGATAGCATGTTGGTGAAGAAATAGAAATTTCAACTGTGTTATTTAAAAGATTTTAAAATAAAAGACTCAGCTTTAAAATATTTTAAAGAAACAATTCATTTTTATCCATCATGCTTGAACTCACCTTCCCTTCCTGCCCAACAGCCATTCAGCTGATGGTTGGGCTAGGCAGCACTGCCGCTTAGCTCTCCACCCCAAAGCCTGTGGAGTACGGGGCAGCAGCGTGAGGGGCTTGGGCTGGCATCACTGCCAGGCAAGATGTTGGAGGCTATTCAGAAAAGAGTGAGCCCTTGTTTCCTTCTGTCCAATGCTTAGTCTTGGGAGGAGGAAAGCTCTGACGCATACTTTTTGTATTTTATTTATTAAAAATATATGTATTTTAATACAAACATTGAGAATTTAAATAGACAAATATTGAAAAAGGAGCTAAGGTCAAAGCAGACAAGAAGAACAATAACACAGGTAAATTTTGGATGATCAAACAATAGCTTAATAAATTAGAGTATGCACAAACCCACACACGAGCAATGTGTGAGAAATCCAATTTGGGGGTAGGAATTCATTATATATTCTTAGCTCAGTTCCCCAGATTCTTTCTCTTTGCATTAAGCACAAATTGTGTCAAGTGTTCACATGAGAATTTGGCAAGAAGTGAGTCCAGGTATTGTGCAGGCAGCTCGTGCACATGGTGCCTGTACACTCATTGTGCAAACAGAATTCTTCTTCTGTACATGTGAATTACAGGCTTTGTGTATGTTGTACAAGAATAATTCAGTGCAAAGGAGTGGCTCACTAGTGTTCCCAAGGGTTCATGGACAACATATCAGCTAACTTCCTAGGCTAGGGCTGAGCACAGGAAAGAAGTCTAGCAAGTGAAAGAGAGATAGATTCTGGCTGGGTCATCGCAACCGTACATGTATCTGCTTTACTCTCCTCACATGAGTGGGGAAAACAATTTATAAATTATTCTTAACCATGGTTTCCTAATACACCCAAAATGGAAAACTACAGTTAATGGCTTCTGACCAAGCTAGGATATGAAACCATTATTTAAAATGTCTTCAGAATGTTTGCTTATTTGGAAGTAATAAAATAGTTCCCAGCTTGTTTAAGCAGTTTCTGCCTGACTTCTTTTACTTGTATGAAAGACCAACACAACAACAAACAGGCTGTGTACCAGTTCAGGGAAGTTGTAAATATCCTTGGTTATTAAGAAAGGATTATATTGTCTGAACACAGCTGTAGAGTTCTATTAGAGGATGCCTGAAAAGTTAGGTAAACAAGATAAGAACATAATTATTATGGGGTGAACCGAGGTAGGTCTATGAAAATCAGTGGGACTTAAGTTAGTCTATGACTAACATTGATGAAGTATAGATCCAATCCTGTGAATAAGAGCAACACTGATAAATATATTAAAGGAAAATAACATGAGAGAAATTGGATTCATTAGTAGCTGAGGAGTTGAAAGAACTGGATATTGAAATGTAATTGCTAAGTCTCAAACAGCAACTTTCATAAAGAGCAGGAAGCCAGGTAAATGAATATTCATAAGTGTTGAAAGGGCCCAACAACTGTTTGTTTTGTTCATTTTAGCTTTCACAACTGTTTATAAGTCAGACCTATGATCTACTTGGAATATCACATTCAGTTCAGAACAATTTGTTACTAAAAATATAGCTTAATGAAAGATACTTCAGGGGGAGATCGGCTATTGTAATTATAAAATTGGGCTGTTGGAGAATAATCCCCAAGAATGTATGTGATAGTTTTAATCAGTAATTCTCTTCTACATGTACTGCTGCATGTTGAACTGCCAAATTGCTTTTAACCTCGTTGAATTTAAAAGGGAGTCGCAAGTTGGACTCAAGAACTATTTGAACAGAAACTGCAAGAAGTGCACACATAGTATTTTGAGTTTCTTTTTCACTGGTTTCTATGCCAAAACCCTAAATATTGGATAAGTGGACTTTCCTGGAATGGATGGATACTGTAGTTTACTGCTTCTGAGATGTGTGGTCTTAAGAGGGCTTGTGTCACTTACTGTATAATGAGTAACATTAGCAATGAGATGCTATAAATACACCATACATATTGCCAAGAAAAATCAGTCCAGTTTATTATTTTCTGAAATCAAGCACACACAAATCGGAAGAGTCTTTTCATGTGAAGTGCAGTTTATGACTCACTTACTGACTTGGAATGCAAAATAGTAATACTGTAAAGGGACTGAAAGAGAGGGCAATTAGAACATATGGGCCATAATCCAGTAGGGAGGAACCAAGCATGGAAATGGGTCCTTCCCATTGCCAAGTGTGTGCTTGATGAGCTTCACCATTATGTAGCTGGCAATGGACCTTATGAGCATGCTTTTTTTCTTTGGAATTGTAGCTGTAATATAGAAAGCCTGAAAAATCACACTGCACTTTTTATACATTGAAGCAGATTGCATTTCAGAATGAAGATATTTTGTAAATGTATCAACCAAGGTGGCATTGTAAAGTATATATTAAAATTATTTTAATTTCCCCCCTAATCAATAGGGCAACCCGATGGATCCAATGGTAATGAAAAGACCTCAGTTGTTTGCAGTGGGCAACAACCCTCACACCCAGACACAGCCAAGCAGTCCGTATCCAGGGCAGTCTTATGGACCTCCAGGACCACAGCGTTTTCCAATTGGAATGCAGGCCCGGACTCCAGGTTCCATGGGAGGAATGCAGTATCCACAGCAACAGGTTTGTGAAGAGATCTTGTGTACCATTCCCTGCTTCTGTTTCTGTTCTTAATTTAATTCTTCTTAATTTAATAATTTAAGAGGTGATTCAGAATACTTTTCTCACAGGGTAGTGTTAACAGGCTACCTTACTTCTGTACTCAAGTTTGCTTCCTTGAGTTCATTTTCTTTGTAAATGAGCATCACATTTTAGAGAAGAAAGATGTTGTTTATCGGAAATGTTCTCCTCCAGTGTCTCTTAGTTGTCATAAGGTTTCTGCTCCTTATAGTTCCCTCATCTGCAGATTGAACAAGTTGGAAGAATATTGATCAGTTCAAGAAATATTTTTTGTAACCAAGCTGTTTGCTCTTCCTAAAATGGTTTTAGTAAATATCCATTATGTGTGTGTATTACATACAGAAATGTGCATGCACACATTTATGTGTATTGTAAAGTGAAATAAAATATAGACCTCCTCACCTTATGTGAGAGGACATGTAGATTGTGTAGATCTCTTCTTGCCTGGTTAGGTTTTCCTGTTGATCGCAACTTTTTCTTCGCCTTATCTCGGAGGGTTAATTACTTACATTCTCAATATATTAGCAAGGATGCAGTCATTGTTTTTTGAATGCGTATAATAGATGAATGCTACCTAGAGATTGTGCTGGCACATCTCTGAGCAGGCTTGTTATTGAAGCCTGTACTCCGTTGCAAGCACAAGGCTTTATTGGTAACAAAGAGGAAACAGCATTTTCTCCCTATATGTTGCTAACTAGAATTAATTTTCCTTTATTATTTGAAATTAAATATGACAAAGAAGGAAAATAATGATCTACCAGGCAACTATATTTACTATATTAGCATGGAATGTTCAACAAGTGGTTAATTAGTTTGTATATATTAACAGTTTTGTTGAAGTGTAGTTTTTCATCTTGTGACAACATGGACCACACGCATCACATAAGTATCAACCCATATTACCATATAGAAGAAGTTGCTTGGAGAACATTGGACCATTCACTATGAGGTTTAGGTTGCCCAGATTATAGTACTGAAGTTTGCTTCTTTAGAGATAAGCAGCTCAGTTGAGTAGAGGCATGCAACTTCTTCTGGTGTAGCTTAATTGGGTTATTACAAATGACAGGTTTTAAGGACTATTACCTGACTTATTAGGAAGCAAAGAAGAAGATTAGAATTGTGAGTGTTGAATTTAATTAGAGTAACTACAATTAACCAAGCATGCTCTTTATTTTTAAATAAATTTTATTTGTTATCTTAAAATTAGTGTTTCTTTTTCCCACTTGAGAATCATAGGCTACTTATAAAGTATCCATCAGAAGTTACTGATCTGGCCCAGTGATTTGCCACTGGCCCTGTCTGTCCTTTTGAGGCACTAATATAATTGGCTGAGAAATATTATGGTTATGACTAGTAATACACTTTGGAAAGTAGTAAGAAGATAATTACAACATTGAATTTTTATTGAATGGATATCAATACCTAGGAATGATTTCACTTTGGATGGCCTCCAGATCTTCATGTGTTTATTTTGTGAACCTCTAATGATCTGAATTACATTTTTTCCCTATTGCTTGTACATTATCATTTTTATTATAAAGGTTTAAAGTGCGAGAATACGGGTTTGCTAATTAAATTGCCAGTATGGTAAGTTGTCTTTGGCCAAGGCTGAGAAATAAACTGGCTAAGACAGCTATGAGTTGATTCTTTAGTAGATACGACTGCTAAATGAGAGAAGCCCTGTTTATTGTATGAAATATTTTTGTGAAGGCAGGTATTATAGTAGACAAATGAAGTCCTGCAACAGACTGTAACTTGGTAAGCTTCAGAGCTCTTTTCAGCCAAGAGGCTGCTCAGAATAATGGCGATCAACTTGTCTGAAGAGAGAAGCCCTGGGAGATTTTTTTGATGCTATGGCTCAGGTCTGCTGTTAGCTAGTGATGTGTACCTACAGAGGTTCCCTTTGTCAGGTAGGAAAGCTACTGATAGTGGATAGGCTTCCTTACATGAAGAGATAGAGACACCAGATACTCCAGATAACCCCTTTTCCTTTTTTCCTCCACATTTGAGTATACATGTGTATTTTTCCTGTTTTTCTTTTTTTTATCCAAGTTTGGTTTGGTTTGGATTGGTTTTTTTCCCTATCAATTGGAACCATTACCTGTTCAATTTTTAAAAAGCTGCCTTTCAATTTGGAAAATTTGCCACCAAATGGAAGTACTTAGTACCAAAACAAAAATATTGGTTTACTCTTCAAAACATGGCCCAGGAAAAAAATAATTAAAACAGATTTTAAGAAAAGATTAAGGGTTAAGGGCAGTATCAGATGCTTCCCATGGACTAGCAGGATCCATCATTGGTGCAGTGGGCATCTAGTACTTCCTAAAGTAACCAGAAATGAGCCAAAAAGTTTATTTCTGGAACAAGTAAGCAGTATTATCAGAAGGGTACTCTACTGATATGTCCCATTCTGGAAACAGGTATTTTGACTAGTTTCCATAGCTGCTATAGCACAGCTTCCTGTTATTTTAGCAGTAGATCTCTGTCACAAGCTATATAGAGACGGGGTTCAGTTCTCTCAATTCATTCCCAGATGATTTTTTCAGATTTAGAGGGGCAAATGGTGGACAAATGACTTTGCACTTTTAAGGTTACAGAGTAAAGATATTCAAAGGCAATGTGGAATTTGGAAAAGGGATAAGATATTTCAGAACTGGGTGAAGAGAAGACTGAGGGGGAGTTCTGTGACCTTGTAAGGAGATGACAGGTGAAATGAGCATTTTTATTTATTTTATTTTATTTTGTCCTTGTGTGTGTGTGGGTGGGTTTTTGTCTGGGAAAACTGGGCGAATGAAGAGTAGTGCAGGACAGACAAGGCGGGGGAACAAGGTAGGGTTTCTGAGGGCTTCCCACTGTCAGGCCAGGAGATGGCCTTGGTGGGTATCACAGTTGTTGCTGTCCGCTGCGACACGTTTGACCTTCTCCCTCAGGAGAAGCAGGGATACACTTGCCCTCAAGCTTGTGACTCTTCTAGAGGAGGAGGATAGGTGTCTGAGGGCCGAGAGAGCTCTCCAGGCCCCGCAGGAGCAGTCCCCCTCCAGACGGAGTGTTGAGGTAGGGGCTACAGGAGGAACAGCTGGGGAGATATGGACGCATGTCACCCACAGGAGGAGGTGGCCAGCATGGCCTCCTTCTTCTCCTGGTGCCAATCTGGAGCTGGGAAACAGGTTCTCTCTGCTTGGGGAGGCTGGGGCTGATGAGGACTTGGGGGATCGGCAGGAAGTGGCACTGCTAAATAAGGAAGAAGGGGATCCAGTGACTGATGCGAGGGAACAGGCACAGATGCTAAATGACTATTTTGCCTTTGTGTTCCCCCTGAACCAGGATGGGGGAGATCCACATGTGAGATTAGATGAGGCTGGGAACATAGAGACACAGATTAGAGTCATTCCCCCCCACCCCCCAGAAGTCGAGGGGCTCCTCAGCATAGTGGATGTTACAAAGGCACCGGGCTCTGATGGGTTACACCTGAGAATACTTTGATAGTTGGCAGGGTTCTCTCATGCCTGCTGGCCTCCATTTTTGAGGCCTCATGGAGAACGGGTGAAGTTCTAGAGGACTGGAGGGTGGTGTCAGTGGTCCCAATTTTAATTTTCAAAAAGGGTAGTAGAAGGGGCAAGGGGAATTACAGACCAGTTAGTCTTATGTCCATTGGAGGAAAAACAATGGAAAGGCTTATAATAGCGAGAGATCTAAAGGAACGCCTTTGTCCGTACGTGCCCTCCTGCCCCTTGAGATCGGCAGCAGAGGCCCTTCTCCGGGAACCCTCTGTGAAAGATAATAAGGAGGGTGAGTACCCGGAGGAGGGCTTTCTCTGCAGTGGCGCCCCACTTATGCAATGCGCTCCACCGAGAGGTCTGCCTGGCGCCGTCGTTATTTGTTTTTCGGCGCCAGGCAAATACCTTTTTATTTAAACAATATTTTAATAATTGTTGATTTTATTTATTGGTCTTAAATTATTGTCCCAGGATGTTTCCAGATTTTATATGTATGTGTTTGTATAGATATTTATTTATATATTGAAAGCCGCCCCGAGGCTTATGTGATGGATGCAAAAAATCCAAATAAATAAATAATAAAATTCCAAATAATAAATCTAGTGATGCTAGATAGGGAGGGAGGCTGGCAGCCACACAACACAGCTTCTACAATAACAGGTCCTGCCAGACAAACCTTGTGGAATTCTCTGACAAGGTTTCAAGGGGGCTAGATGGAGGGGATGCAGTGGATGTGGTTCACTTGGATTTCAGCAAGGCCTTTGACAAAATGCCTCATGATATTTTGGTTGAGAAATTGAGGAGTTTTGAGATAGAGCAATGCACTGTCCAATGGATTAGGGCATAGTTGACTGACCAAAAGCAGAGGGTAACCATGAGTGGGGAATCATCAGGATGGCGGCCAGTGACAAGCGGGGTCCCCCAGGACTCTGTCCTGGGGCCGATCCTGTTTAATCTTTTCATCAACGACATGAAGAAGGGGTGAACAGTCTGCTGATCAAATCCACAGACCAGATTCACAGATCATACTAAAACTGGGGCAGTGGCCACAACTGAGGAGCAGGTACTCCAGATCCAAAAGTATCTGGAAAGAATATGGAAGTGGGCAGGAGACAACAGGATGGCGTTCAATGTGGATAAGTGCAAGGTCTTGCACTAGGAGCATAGGAATAGGTGTCGTAAGTACAGGTTAGGAGACAAGTGGCTGGAGAGCAGCACTTGTGAAAGGGTTCTTGGGGTACTGGTTGACTGCAGGCTAAACATGAGTCAGCAGTGTGATGCGGTGGTCAGGAGGGCGAATGCCACTCTTGGTTGCATAGCTAGAAGCATGGCTTCTAGATTGAGAGAGGTATTACTACCACTCTATACGATTCTGGTGTACCCTCAACTATATTATTGTGTTCAGTCTTGGGCCCCTTGTTACAGGAAGGATATAGCCAGGTTAGA